CCTCCTCCTCCTCCTCCTCCTCCTCCGCTTTGCGTTTGCCCACGACCATCCACTCTGTAAATCAGGCCGTCACCACGCCGTCTTCCATCTGCTGTCCACCACAAAGGTATCCTATGAGTCCAAGGTGCATACATGGCATGAAAGAGAAGTTATGGCATGAAGCACGCGCAGGCTTTCTTTTTCCCAGTGCCGGCGGGCGAGCGATGCTGAGGCGTGTGAGGTTCACCCTCGTACCCCCCAACCTTTTCCCTCTGTAGGCCCTTGGCCGCCACGTTCATGCGCGGAAAAACCCGTGCAGGTTTCTTTGAGTATTTGAAGCTGTATTTCAAGGCTGTTTTGCTTGATATTCTGGGTTTTGTCTTGGCGGGGTGGGACGTCTTTATTTTATATGAAAGCGAAATCAGTTGTACCCCCCATCCCACCTGCTTTCTTATCAGCAGAACAGATCAACGTATTGGCCACACCTCAGACACTTTTGGCTCTTACCAATCACGTTCCTGACGTCGGTTCCGATATTTCCATTGATCCCCCTTTTTCAGAGCTCAAAGCTATGGAGGCAAGGTTGTTAGAAGAGAGAGGCCCCTTGCAAGACCGCTCACGTATTACCTTTGCTTCCTTAAACGAGGCGCGGATGGTTGCTCTTGCTGAGGACGAGGAGCGCGACCTTCGGGTCATGGAATGGAAACGTGCGCCCATTGACACTCCCTTCCTTCCGTCCGGAACATTGCATGCGCAACGTCTTGCCTGCATGGAGAGCCCTGCCTCCAGTTCTTCGCCAGGGATACATGCTGCAAGAGGGGGAGGAGACGGTGACGTAAAAAGACCACTCTCGGCAAATGCCACGTTACTCTGGCCTGAAATCGCTGTTCTTTCTTATGCCTTGCGGCCAGGGAAGCTGCGGGCTTCAATTTGCTGCCCCTTTCCTTCCATCTCCCTCTCCGATTCCGTCCTTGGTATGTCGAGGAGCAGGGAGGACGAGGGGAAAGAAACATGTGTGACTGGGATGGGGGGACGTTGTGGAGAAAATACTTCTTCGTGTGCATCCCCTGCGCGTGTGCGATGGGAGGCAGGGCGGGCGGAAGGGGGAGAGGATGGCCTCCTCCTGCCGCATCATCGAGTATCAGACGGTCTCGATATGGGAGACATAGGAGAGAGAAGGTACACCGAAAGCAGCAAGAAGGGGGTTGAGTGGAAACGTAAGGCTTTCTTCAGCCCCTTCAGGCTCGGCGGAGCGGACGCACGTTTGGACCGGTTGGCGCGTTGGAGGCAGTCGAGGTGGATGGACCGGGGTGAGGAGGAGGGAGGGGATGAGGTAGGCAGGGGGCCAGGAGGAGAGGGAGGTGGAGGAAGGAAGGCAAGGGGAGGTGTTGTCGATGGTGGGCATGCATCGTCGAATCTGAGAAAGCGAGAGAGGGTGGGTGCAAGCCGGTTCATGAAG